TTATGATACTGTACAAACTCACTAGAAGCAGATGGCAAATGTGTTTGATGCTGCAATTCCTTCCTTCAAGGCCAATTGAGAGGAAATCAAACCTTCTGCAGGTAAAACTGAGATTAAGGACATGATTTTTGTTTCCAGAAGTTAAGTAAATGAGTGTTGACTGAAAAGACCCAGAGGAAACCATAGGTCAGCTGTGTCCTTGGGTGCCACAGAAAGGATGCTACTGATACAGCAGCACAGGACAAGGGCTCAGAAAAAAAAACCCGTGGCAGCTGAAATCCTTGAGAGGAAGAGATTTTATGAGCGTCTCCAAAACGTTCAGTGACTTTTCTCACAATTAAAAATCTATATTAGAAAAGAAGTGATTTAAGCAGGAGCTATTTATAGCTAATACATCATTAACGATATTCTTGAAGACCAACTGCTGATGCTGAAAGGCAGAGGTTATACATGCAACTCACCCTCCTGGGATTGGATGTGAGCTAACTTAATGACAGCAATAAAAGACGCTGGGTTCAAAATTAAACTCTAACACGGGAATCTGACCATTTTGAAAATGCTACATACAATGCACATACACATACACGTGTGTATAAAGGATATATTCAGGCAAGGGAACAGTACAACCAAGTAGTACATCAAAACAAAGCATGAAACGAAATTCTTACAATCAGACACGCTCTTATTAAGAGAATAAATACTATTTTAATAATCCACAGTCAGATAGGAGACAAAAATAAATGAAAGAGGTTGCAATTAGTTTGTGTCAGCAAGTAAGGACAGGAACACACCTTGAAGGAAAAAAAGGAAAAATACAGTAGCTGTATCTTGTAATTCAGAAATTCACTGTTTACAAAATTTTTGCTCTGAGAGCAGTTACCTTCCTAAATAAAGAGGGCTTTGTGTCATGACAGTGCCCTGTGATGAGCCCATGCTATGTTGCCCTTCCTTAGGCAGAGTTCCTCTGACAGAGATGAAGGGCACTTTGGGATCACAGAAACTTAGCTTGCCTGGACACACAGATCCTGAACGTGAACAAGTCCAACTCTGGTCTGCATACCACTGTGTTGGTTTTCTTTGAGGAATGTGTGAAAAGCCTGGAAACATCTTTACAAAAGGCCTTTCCTAAACTGACCTTTCTTAAGACTACAGATTAGGAAAGGGGAAAGATCACACACAATTCCCCTTCTGTATCTCTACCCAAGCCCAGCTTTGCCCTGCAAGTGACAGTGACTTCTGCAGCTAAGAGCAGTCTAAATCTCATCCAGTCTTGTACACTCTAACGGTGAATTTTTAAAGCCTACAGTTTTGTAAGGTTTTCACTTTTCAAAAGAAATTTCCATTTTTTTTGCTAATTAAAACAAATAATTGTTTTCTCTGCAGTGCAAGTGGAACTTGCAGCCATTTTCAGTGAAAAAACTGCCAGAAAATTCATACGTCTTCACACTTGCTTCTGAGACATCTTATCTGTAAATCCACCACTGTCTTCCTTTTCTCAATCCTTGAACATATGTGTGCAATTTCAAGAAAAGTACTTGCAATTGTAATTTGCAAGGTGTCTGTATTTCTCATATTCTAGAGTAAACACCAGAAAAAGTCATTAGGAATAAAATAACAATTTTAAAGAAAGCAGTAAGTTTGAATTTAAAATACATCACATTTTTTTCCAGCTACACCTGCCTTTTCAAATGCTCCCAATCCTTTAAAAATGTTTGCTTAAAAAAACCAGCATATATAAAGGGAATAAACTACTTGCTATGGTATTTGTCCTTTAGCAGAACTGGATAAGAGAAAGAGGAGGAGAAAGGAGAAGGAGGGAAAATCTTGACATGAATATATATTAGAGCAATCAATAAAGAGATAATCCTTGGAATTCATGAGTCTTTAAAATAAGATGCATTTTCTTGTAGTAATCCTGAAAACCTATAAAAGAATATTCAAGCAATAAACCCCCCATAATTCATATTTAACCTTTCATCATGTAGAACTACGCATTAAATAGCTTAGCAACAGCATGCTGTGTAAGTGCATTCAAATAAGAGCAGAAATAGAAAAATGTAAAAGCTACACCTCTTTTAACATGCACTGCACAGCCAAGAACATCTGCCAGCTGACCCCATAATCCAGTCGGGTGTTCACAAGCACTCCTATCCTCAGATAAGAGCTGCACAGCTTCTCCACGCAATGCCCCTTTTCTTCAAGAGGTGGAGCAGAATGTAGGTAGCCAACACTTCGGTAATTTTCAACCACTTACAGGTACAAGATGGAATTCAACATATTACATGGATCTGCATTAAAATACTGTCATCTCTTCCCCCAAAGATCGTAACTCACCTTTTTGTTTCACAGGGCAACAGCCCAGGAAGGTTAAGGCTGAACTGACTATATCAAAATCAAACAACTGTATCAGAACACCAAGTGCCCACAGCCCACACAACCTGCCTGCCACTTCTGTTAGAAAATACCAAAACCTAGAATGGGAATCTAGAAGGGCTCAACCTACTCTGTCTACAATTAGAAGAAGAGATAATATAAAAGCTGAATTAATTTTTCTAACTCCTTACTTCTTGCATCTACTGCAGAAGGAGTGGACTGCTTGAGAGGTTCTAGGGGCAGGGGGTATGAAGACATCTGAAGGAGTGGCTTCATGATACTTCAGAAGAGCAAAAGCTCTGTGGAATTAAGATCCTAGAGGAGTTTATTATTGCTTCCAAGTTATCTAATGTCTTTATTAACTGCATAAAACACAATATAACACAGCAGCCAGCAAAGACAGAGCAAATCTCAGCACCAAGGTAATTTGGCTTTCTCATGTCTGATATCAAACAAAAGCCAATATTTTACTACATTTATTTAACTCAGATCATATAAAAATAACCAGGATGTTCCATAAAGAATCTATAGAGCTTTGCTCTAGGATTTAAACACTGCCCAGACAAGGGGAAGCTGAAGACAGTCTGCCTTGCAGTGAATTAATGGTATGTGTCCAGCTTAACTAAACAGCAGTGCCATCAGCTAATTTACTTTACCATCTGGGTACCAACTTGTGCCTGCTGCAACGTGCCCAAGAACCCCAGTGTGTCTAAATCTGTGGTGAAAGTCAAAGTCTATTGGGTGCAGAGCAAAACTCCTCTGAACTGCACAAAGGACTGAGAAGCACCTAGGGAGGCCATGAATAGACCCGTGCACACCAGATGTGGGTACATGTGCATATCTAAGTGTATATAGAGATACACACGTATATACACACACATTCGTTACTAGTACAACCATTTCTTCTTACCCTAAAAGCTCTGAAATACATAGGATCTGATCCAACGGTATACATCTATTTGGAAGAAGTAATTCACATGTGCTAAAACAGCTAGAAAGAGCTACTCTTTATTTCCTAAAAAAAACCCAACCCAAAACCCACAGGCAAAGAAGCAAAAACCCCAGAAGACTAAGCAAACAAAAAAATACCTGGAAAAATTAAGAGAGACAAACCTAAAGAAACAGATCTTAATGCAGTTCTAAGGTGTCACGACCAGAGACCGCAACAGAAAACCCTCTGATGACTTCAGTGGGGTTCAGATCAAGATGTGTGTATGTTCCTGGTAGAGGCAAAAACCCCATCAACCATGTTTGTGTTAATACCAGCCGTGACACTTTGCACGCCTCGTGCACCGACAAACCCTACAAAGACATGATTTCCAAGTTTAAATAACTTCTTTCCTTTAATATCTTCTGAAAGGCTTTTGAAATTAGCAAATCTAATGTGTGTGGGAATAGGCAACACTTTATAGCAATAAGTTTACTTTTAATGGAAGTAGTCTGCTGTGTCTATGGGTAACAAGCCCCAGTATCTTTTCATTACAAAGGAGCTTATTGTTACCATATGACTTACTCTGGGATTTCATTTTGCCTCTTTGGTGATCTGTCTGATCTATTAAGAAAAGCACTGAGGTATGGACAACATACACTTTATTGCAGTTTCATATTTTCATAGTCCCTGCTGCTTCTGTTAGGCTACTGCCTATGAATTTCAAGTAGTAATAAGGAAGAAAAAGAAAAAAGTATTTACCAAGTTTCTCACAAGAAAAAAAAATTAACTGTGAAGAAAACAAAGTAAGTTCAGACTCAGGTGCTAGAAGTAGTGCTGCATCCCAGGACACGACTGCTGCAGCAACAGTAGCACAGAAAAACAACTGGATACACCAGCTCTAGCCTCTACAATCCACTACACAAACAAATCTCTGTATGAATACTATTAAATTCCTTCTACACATACTATGCAACATATTTTTATACACATTTATTCATAATATATATATATGAATTCCCTTCAGCATGATTGTTTATGTCCTATTAATTGTCATGGTTGAATCACAAAAGAAGGACAGGCAAAACTAAATAGTACTTCATCAGTGTTAATTAGAGATGAGGATGAATCAGCAACTGTAGGAAATTACTAAGTTTTGCAGAAACACATACAGCATTAAGGAGAATTTAGATAGATGCTGATCTTTTTTTAAGAGTAGCAATTTAGAGATTATTCTCCTCTGATGGGATTCTCCAATATTGAACATACAGAGATTAATTTTCAAGGGAACCTGTACTGGGTAGAAGGGAACCGTTGTTAAAAATAGCAACATTTATTTAACTAACTTTTCTGCAGGTCTCAGCGTATTACATTTTTAAAAATATTCCTGACATCTGAGCTCTCTTGATGTCTATACGCTGTCTAGGTGGGATTATTCAGCCAGAGCTTCCTGTACTTTGAGAGATAACAACTTCTTCATATAAAAAATATGGTGTTTCAAGTGAAATTCTGCTGTCACATGAGCATCTTCTCCTCAATCCTCAAGAAGTTTGAGGTTTGCACACAAAATCTGACCCAAGGTGGAGTCCCAAAGATAACTCCTATCTTTAATTTCTCCACCAGCACAGTATCTTTTAATCACAATCAAAAATACAGTTAAGCACAGAGAAATTTCTGTTGGCTATTTAATGCTGCTCACCTGATTCTTGAGATCCAGCTTTGGGCAGGGACGACCTCCGTTGTAAGGCTTCTCCTTAAGCCACTTGGATCGGACTTTCACCCCTGGTCCACAGGAAGAGCTGCAAGGGGACCAACTGGACCAATCGCTTAATTTGCAATCAAACGGGCAAGGGACAGTGCAAGATTCTTCAATGTAACCTAAACCAAAAATTTAAAAAAGGTTTTAATCACCAAAACTGAGGAACTCTGCTCCTCTGGTATCTCGCTGTCATCTGTGTGATCAACACAAAATGAGAAGAACTTCTTAAAGAGAAGACATTTGGCAGACTGACAACACCTTCCCAACATGAGACTGTGATATTATTTGTATAGAACAGCAGACACTAAAACTAATTTCTACTTGGTTTAGTCCAATGATCATCAGGAAGGATATGTTAAAACTGACTGATGGAAAGGCCACACACTGGCAAAAGTATCTGTTGTGAACCTGGTGGTCACCAGAAGATGGTGATCTTCCCCTGAGACTGGCCATAATAAACTTTCAAGAAGGAAGTGTACAGCCCAATTTCATACTCCTGTAGTACTATGCCAGCCACCTCCAGAGCTGGCATTGGCAGGGAGTTCAGAGTCTCTTCCCAGAAGAGAGAACCAGAAGATGGTGGAGGCAGCAGAGCTGTGTTCTTGGCACCTCCCACAATATGTGTGGAGAACCTCCCTGCAGCTGGAACAGTGCGAGATACAGTCTTGGGATAAGCAGAGGAAACGGGTTCCTGCTTCTTTCCAGTAGTTCTCCTTAAACACCTTTCCAACTGCTTTGCCTACTCTGGTGTCATAAATGCTATTTTAAAGCTTTGGTTTCACCTTAAGATGGTTTGATGTAAAAGCTCTCCCAAGATCATCACCTTTTAACGTGAGAATACCAGACATCTGCAGGACCAACACCTCGCGGAAGCCAACAGGGTTTCTCAGGGAAAAAACTATGTTCCTACATACAGGCACATCCCCAAAGCTGGTTTAGGAGCTGGCATATGGGAAGAGAGACTTTGCAGAGCCCAGCATTGGCCATGGAGTTCTGGGGAGTGGAGGATGCCCAGACCCTTGGGTTCTGTGGGGAATTACTGGCACCATTAAGGGGTCAGAAGTGTGGAATAGCTCCACACCTTCCTGCTTACCGTGCTGCATTTGTTCTCCTGGAGTTCCTATTACCAGCTTGTCATGTCTGTATGTACTACTTTAATTTAAACAAAAAAGAGATTTCATATTGGACCGTGAAAGTCAGTGGCTGCTAACATCAGCCTTTATTGCAGGCAGCTTTGACCCTCTGACAGCTCTGGCAATAATGGCCACAGAAATAACTTAATTTTGTCCCTACCATCTTCCTGACATTTCTCATTTTTAAGCACTTTCCTTCTATTTGGTTTTCATCACACTAACACTCCCTCCCTATTCCTTACCCACAGAATACCAAATCAGCTGTTTCAATTACTCTCTTACAAAGGGTTTCTCCACTCTATGAAAGGAACAGCTACTGCAGCTGGAAGAAATTAGAGAATTCAGAAAAACCCAAGCCATAAGCAGCTAACCCCAGAATCCCCAGACAACATCCCCAACCAACCAGGAAACACTGAGGCTGAGACACAGATATTATTCTGGCCCACAGCTGTATTTACAGGTTCTGCCATGCCCAAACCTGCTGCTGACTCCAAAGAAGGACAGCTTCACATCCTGAGCATCAACCCACAGCAGCAATATCCTGCCTCCCTCCTGGTCTTCATGTTGAAGTCAAGAGCAAGAAACATTTCAGACTTATATAGGCATTGCCCAGCAGAAAATATCCTTCTGCTACAAGTACAAGAAATACTGATGTTATTTTTTGCAAACAGCACCTTAAAAAATGCTAGAAACAACAGCAGTTCCCTCCTTCAGTTCAGTGATGCTCTATTTCTTCTCTCCTCTTCCTTCCTGATGGTACTGCTCCTTCCTCCTTTACAGCTGCCACCCCGTAGCCTGACAGCTGCAATAATTTCCCCAGTAACTCGTGCTGTAACTCTTCCCTAAAGCTGCAGACTCGTCCCTGTACCAAGTGTTCTGGTTTTCTTTTCTGCCTCTTCTCTCCATGTGCTGCATCACCTTTTCATTTGCAGCTCCAAATCCACTGGAATTTCATATCTTAAGTATTTCTGACCCAATCCATTACAGTGGTGCTCACATGTTGGAGATACTTCAGCTTGGCATGCTTTGTATTCTCGCCTAGCTGAGACACATACACAAATATTTCCAAAATAGACTTGCTCTTTTTCCCCCAAATGAAACTCCCAAATATCCCACTCATATTCCATTCCACCTGCTTAGGTTGCCACTCAAAGCAATTCATAATACATTATGGTAAGTGAAAGAAATTTGCTCATGATAGATTTATGAGAATCATTTCTTAGGCAGTTCTCCAAAGAGTTCTGCTCCACCACCATATGAAATATCATTTTTCGTTGGGCTGTGTGACAGCCTTGGTAATTAACTCTCAACAGAAACAAAGTGCCTTGTTTCAAAGTACGATTAGACAAAAGGGTTATCAACTTATCAGTGAAGGCAAAATGGGCTAAGCAGTTTAAGACCTAACTCTGTAATAAAAAGAAGTATAAGACAAAAAAAAAGACAAGATAAACCAAAATGAAATAGAAGGAAAAGGAAAAAAAAAAGTTAAAATAAACAAAACTAAGGAAAACTATTGTATTCCATCCCTGGGAACTGCTGTGGGGTTCCCTGAGCAAACCAGAGAATTTCTAAAGATCTCCTGTTGCTAAGAGGCCAGCTCATGACTTTTTGAGTTTCCTCACACATCTTTCTAAATTTCATTAAGTATAAATAAACAGTGGCCAGCTAATAAGAGCATTAAACTACTATACTGTCCAGAGGAAGCCAATTCTCCATGTTAAACAATGCTATGTAATCAAAATGGGAACATAACCTTCATTCAAGCTCTTCTCACAGCTGCCATAATTTCTTCTATCAAATCACTTGAGGTTAATCCTATTGATAAAGATTTTATTCAACAAAAATTTCCCTCCAAAAATCTTTATCCTCTCTGCTGAGATAGAAAACGTCTTTGTGGCTATCTTTTTATGAGAAACTAGTAAGTAATATTGCACTCAGGTCACCTATTGCCTATGAGAAAGGATATTTGTTTGTCTCTGTAGGAGCCATGCAACATCTTGCCATTGTGAGGGGGCTGAAAAGACTTCAGCTTGGATACCCACCATAATGCTAGTATTGGCATTCCCAGAAAACAAGTAGCATTGGCATGGTGCATAATACATAACAACAACAAAACAAACAATCAAACAAAAAACAACAAGGGAGATATGCTACTAAACCTATTAACAGAGAATTATACATTCAGGCTCTTACCCAGAGAAACATTTCTGACCACAATAGAAAAAGAATAAAGGAAACAGCATAAACACATTCCTGAGTTACTGTCACTCAGCCCGGGGGAGACTAACTCAAGGCCAAGTATACACAGCTGGTTTTGTCAGTGTCATCCTGAAACATATTCATCCATCACATTCCCCATTTTTCTCTCCTCTGCAGAACCTGGTACCAAATAATCTGCTGAATTTCCAATACCTTCTGTGGAAAAAGATGTCCTCCTCTCCCCAGACCTGCTCAGCCTGCTATTCCTGTGTTCTTACATGATTTCTTGAAGCTTCCTTTAACCTCTTGTGTTTTAGTCCTCAAATATCAAATACCAATAAAATAAAGCTTGTATAACAAAAACAACAGATGAGAGCTCTGTCCTATCTGAATCAACAGCAGGCTCCCAGGCCCTACAAAGCTGGAGCTGTGTGAACACACAGATGTTGCAGGAGGGAGCGACAGAAACACCAGCACATGGGATATTTCAGAAGGCACTTTGAAAAATACTATGGGGAATAGTCTTGAATTGGCAGAAAAAAATGAGCTGGATGATCAAATAAGCCTCTTCTAAGCTTAAATGCTATTGTTTTCCTACTGAGACACTGCCAATGTAATGGGATGAACAAAAACATTTACCCAGGCTACACAGCTCATTTTATTATTATTTATTCATTATGAACAATGTGCTTGTTGCTCTACAAGCCACAAATGGAGTCTCTTCCCTAAAGTGTCTATAATAAACACGGCACCCATAGATGACACAGGATGTACTGGGAAGGCTCAGATACACGATGTAGCAACCATTACTTGTCTTACTTCTTCTGCACAGCCTGAGAGACAAAGCAATAGCAGGTTAGACCAATAAAGTAAGGATGATGGTCTAGTGGGTGTTGGAGGTTAAGGTTCAAATACATGGTGTAAAAATTGCTATTGTCTCATTTTTGCTGTGCAACCCAAAAGAGCTGAGGCAAGAGGAGGCAGCTGGATGATGGGCTGGTGGGTGTCAGTGGTGCAGAAGCACTAAGAGGCTGTGGATTGCACCCACAGCTGGGGGGGAGTTTTGCAGTAGCCCAGCTTCTTTCCCACCTACACTAGACACTGTACATCTCTCAGCAGGCACAGCCAGCGAGGGGCTGCAGTGCCCTTCTGAGTCCTCCTCTACATTCCCAAACGGATCGTGGTGGGAGAAGCAGGCAATTAGCAGGTTTACAAGCTAACGTAAGGCACTGGCAGTCACCTGGTTGTTGCACTTCCAAATGATAAATTGGCTGCAGGGGTAAGGTCTGCATACAGCGTTAAACAACAGTGCCAACAGGATTCCAAGAGGCTGACTTAAAAGTGATTCAAAAATAAACAACATTTCTCCAGCAGCTTTGGAAACAGATGCACTTCTAATTGAATTGGCTTTAAACTCATTTGTATCCGCTCTAACATATTTCCTCGTTTCAATTAACAAACTTCTCGTGGTTCTACCCTTGTTAGTAAACCTTGAGGTGCTTCACAAAGCTCAAGGTCATTACTACCAGAGGGACAATTCTGTGCATTACCACAAGTGCCACTGGTAATAACACCAGTAATTTCCCTTTGAGCTTACAGGATAAAAGAGATCACCCTTTAACAAACACAGCAGCAGCAGAGTGGACAGTGACACAGAAGAAATATTTCTAATTACACAGACGAAGGGTAGAGAAAAAAACTGATTAATTTTGCAATTAATATTTACATTCATTTGGTTACTGACTGTGAAATACATAGAATAACACCAGTAAATCCATGGGGTGCTA